AATCACTATTGAAACATTTTATTTAATTTTTCTAAAGGATCTGGTATTTGATATTTATATGCATCTAATCTGATGACACCCATGTCGTCATTTGCTCTTCTACCTATCTCTTTCTGAAAACATATTTAACATTAATCGAATCTAAATTGAATTCGTTTTGATTTCACTTTATCACATGATTATTGCATTCTTTTCAAAAGATTAACTTATCGAAGAAGAGATTGAAAATCGTTTACATAACACGCCAACACCACTTGAATTCCCTTATCAAGACCAATAAATTCAATGGAATAGCATGGTAAGAAAGTTTGAAATTTTATTATTTAAAAGTTGCATGTATGTTACGTTAACGCCAGTAAAATGTAATAAGTCCAACCAGATGCGTTCGCACTAAAGGCCTAGCTAGAAAAACAAAAACAAACAAAAAAAATTAAGGAGAAGCGAAAGCAAACTGCCAAACTTTTTTGACTCAAGAATATCAACAGTTTGCAGCACATTCTTTACGTTTGGGTTTGGAGTTTCTTCAAAAGAAAAGAAAGCAAGGAAGAGATGTTTGCTTCTTTAATCGTACAAGTGAAGGAGAAATGGACTCTGTACGCAAAGTCTTCCAAAACCCTAACGCATGTCTCCATTTTGGTCAATCTTAAATTCTCTGGAAAGAAAATTTTCCAACGCCATCATGTGTTTGCAAAGACCCAAACATCAAACACAACATCAGTTTTGGTGGTGGAAATCTGAATGGGGGTTTACAGTCAGAGAGAGATATATATATATATTTATGTCACAGTTACCCCATCATGATATTTCTTTTAAATAATTAAATAGATAAATAGAAAGATACATGGAAACACCTGTGTGTATATATTTATATATGTACATATACATGATTTCAATTTGATAATTCGATTTTCTTTTTGGATTTTCGAATTTGAACAAATATATGTATGATTAACTGAAATAAAAAATATTTATACATGCAGTACTTGATTATTTTACAGAAATTCTCATCCTTGTAGAGAAAATTTTCTTAGAGGTCTTTTGATATATTAGAGATATGAGTTTTAACCCTGGGAGTAACAACAGTTGGTGGATGACTTTGTTTAAATTAGATGTGTCTAATAAATTATTGAAACTTTTTAAATAATTCAATCTTTAATTTCGATGCATTTTTGCAAATCACCTAATGGTTGATTTTCAATAAAAATGTGTTGAAAATGTTAAGTAGCTAAAAGCCGGTAATTAAGTTAGTTATTGCATTCAGTCAATTCATTTAAGGGAAAATATGTTATTTAATTACATTAATTTTTTTATCTTTTTAATCATATATTCTTTCTTTTTTTTTAACTTTTATAACAATGCAAAATATTAATTATAATTAAAATTATAGCTCTCTTTTACAAAAAAAACAAAAAATTCTAAAAGAAAATATATTTGAGTATTCATAAATTGATCAGTCTTTAAAGTTTTTCTGAACTAAAAACTGAATTAATTAATATATAACTTTTTAGGGTTTGATGTGTAAAATACAGCATGGATTTTCAGCTTTCCGGGCATGGCTTTTTAGTTGAAAAGGGATTTCAATGATTAAACTAATTTCTTTGTTAGGATATGATTTAACATATAAACATGTATATACTCAAAAGTATGTACGTAAAAGGCAAGAATTAATTCAAGTAATTAACAAGAAGAAAAGGGATTCCCATGACCAAACTTTTTGATGAATAATTAACCAAATTAAGCAAGCAAATTATGAATCGTGAATGAAGATTGAAAGGAAGTTAATTAGAAAATCACAAAACCAAACATTCGTCTCATCTCTAATGGAAAAACAGTACGTACTGAGCGGTGGAAAAAAGAGTTGGGGGAAGGAAAATGAAAAGGATATGTTGGGAATGCATGCCTCATCAATTAATTAATGCCTGCCACTAACTTCAGCTAGTTTATTTTCAATGATCAAATTATCATTATAATTAATTACCTAAAACACTTTGTTTAATGTGCTTCCCTTCTTTTTCTATGATGCCTGCAATTCACTTTTCCATATGTCATCTCATATCATATATGCCTATGCTCTAAACTAGTTAACCCCCTAAGTGGTTAGTCTAGGTTCAAAACATTGGGTACCACAGATGTTTTAGGCATTTCTCCAACAAGAACAATTTGTTCTTGTACTAATGCTAAAACATATAGCATAAAACTATGCCTAACACATTATTAGATTATCAAACTCTAATTTCAGATTTAATGACTTTAAAACCTGAAGCCTCCACCTAATTACTATATGGAGACAAGTCTAAATAAATTCCAAACTACAGTGCATGAACAAGTAAAAACTCCAATTTGGTGTACCAAAAAGGAAAAATTAAGAGTTCAAATTGGGCTACTTGGATGAGCTTTTACGTCCAACAAAGCGATGCACATGTTATTGCTGAGAATGAGCCTTTAGGCCGAAAGGTGACGGGACATAGGGAACTTATGGGCTTGGGCTTAAGAACTTGGGCCCTTTAAGAAAATTGGTCTCAACTCCCAAGTGATCCACGAGTCCAACTATATGTTGATATTAGTAATGTAATAATATCTCTTTCATTTTCAAAATAATAATAAAAAAAAGGTCTAAAATCATCAAAAGGCTTATCCACTTGGAAATCCACGAAAATAACTGGCATTATCCATTTCTGGCTAACAAAACATTGATGATATAGACACCCCAGCCCACTTGTTCATTTTAACTACAAATTATTTTTTCTTCGAATTAAAAATTAAAAGTTTTTGTACATTTATCTAGCATTTTAAAAAATAAGGTCCATATAAAAAAATTATATAATTAATCTTTTTTTCCATATAATTTTAAATTACATCATAGAATATAATTTCAACTAAATTTTATATTCTGGACTAAGAAAATACTCATATGGTTTTTTACTATTATGTGTCAAAAAATAAGAAAGAGAGAGAAAAAAAACCAATACAACAAATTGCATCATAGCTTATTGTTTTTTCAAAAAAACAAAAAGAAAAAAGAAATAATAAGATATCAAATTACAATTTATATAATTTTTTAACAAAAACTCGATCCACGTGTCAACAAACCTAGAAAAGCAAAGATTTTAGAAAAAGTTTAAGTCGTTTGGGTGACGTGTTAGCGCCTTTATTAATATTTTATTACTCTTAATTTGCTTCACCAAATCAAAATGTCACGCGAGTAAGGGCCAAGAAAAGATATGCTCTAACTTTTTGTCGGGTCACACGTGTCAACTCCTCAGCAAACCTCCACCCAACAGGGGAATGCTCAGCCACTAGAAGAAAGATTCTTCATACGCTCTTTTTCGAGTTTCTTATTTTCCAAAAATCGGTTCACAAGTGTGGAAAAAAACTTGACACGTGCGAGCACATCAGAGGAGGGATCTTTTTCCTCCTTTTTTTTGGCGAGAATCGGCTGGCGTGGGCCTTTTTTAAAAAAATATTTTTCACTTTACTCTTTGCGCGGTGGGGTCCCCGTAAGAATATAATGCTGATGTGGCAAAATTCTGTGAGTTTTATAACTCGTTGGTGGGCCCATCACACGTGGTGCTTTGACAATGGGATGTGACGTGGATTTTTTTTTTTCTGTGGGTTTGATACCTTGTAAAAAGCACTTGCCTTGGTTTTCTCCGCCTCACCCGACTTTAAAAACTCGTCAAAAAATCGGAGAGCTTGCATTGTTTACTTTTTTTTTTTCTTCTTTCTAGACGAAGACAAAGTTATATGAATCTTTTATTAAAAAAAAAGTCTTTTAAGTACCCATATTTATCTTTCTTATCATAGGGCTCTAATCAATATTTAATTATAAATATTGTCTTAAATTGCTTAAAGGAGCAATCAATTCTTTGCTTGAAATCATGAGATTGAAATTTTTAACAAAGCGCATGTTGACTTTTGAATAAGTTTCAATTGACCTAGTACCTAGTTCATCAATGATATATGCATTTTCATGCATACTTTTTTGGATTGAAATTTAGTATTTTTTTAACTATTGAGGTTCAATAGTTTTTTTTTTAAATTTTAATTTTATTATGTAGAATATGGAAAAAGTGGTAAGGAATAGATAATGAAACTTCAAATTGTGGAAAGTTGGATTCATTTTTTAAATGCTTTGAAAAACAAAGATGATGGGTATATGAGAGGAAAAGTAAGATGTTCTTGTCATATTTTTATGATATGATGCTCGATTCTAAGTAAATGAGCTTACACAAACTCATCCTTTAAAGTTGGTATTATCTCTCACTTGGATGTGTGAGATATGTCACAAGCACTAACCTTTCGAACCATAGAAAAAGATATGAAAAGACTAGAAAGAGGAGTAATGGGCCAACTTACAATGTCAACCACAAATAACCTTGAAACGAAAAAAAGCAAAAATAAAAGAAAAGGGAAAAAGATTTTTTAGTTTTCAATTCCAAAAAAGTAGGTGAGTAATCGAAAAAATAAAAATAAAAAATTAATTAAGAAAAAAAACTAGAAAAGTGTTGAGGAAAAGGAAGGAAAGTGAAAAAAAAATTGTTGATTAGGATATTAGAAGAAAATAAAAGAGAATAAAAGAAGGATTAATTCGGTTAATGGAATGGTGATTTAATTAAATTAGGTTTAAAAAATTAAATAATGATTACATCAAATTAAAGTTGAGTTGTGCAAAAGACATTGAACTTGAATGATGGTTTGTTTGTCTAATTAGTCTAAATCTTGGCAAGTGATTCAAAGGAGAAAGGGGTAAAAGTGTTTAAGAGAAAAGAAAAAAAAAGGGAACGTAAAAGAAAAGAAGAGAAAAATTGCTGACTAGGATTTGAAGGAAAAAAGGTTGGATGGAAAAAAAAAAAAGAGAAAAGCGAAAGAGAAAGATCTTTTAAGGCCACAAAAGGAACTTGTGGCTGAAAATTTTTCTTTATGCTGACGTGGCATACGCACCTGCTTCAACGGATCAAAAACGTAGACTCCACGAGACCAACCGCGATTGCTCACTCTTTTCTTACAACAAAACATTAAAACAAGCAGACAAACGAAAAGAAAAGAAACATTAAAACGACACAAAAACTCAAACGTGTCAGATCTCTTTCTCGCTCTTTTTTTCTTTTTACAAAACTTGCTCTCTCTGGCGAGTTTCAGTTTTTATCTTGTGTTGGCAGAGGATTTGGAGAAAAAAAATTATATAAGTTCAGAAAAAAAAAAGGGAAAAACAGAGGAAAAGGGTAAAAAAAAAACAGGGGAGAAAACAGAGTAAGGAAACAGAAAATGTCGGAAGCAAAAGACCCGGCTATCAAATTATTTGGAAAAACGATTCCTTTGCCTGAGAAATCTCCAAAAGCAACAGCAGCAGCAACATCAGCTAACTTTTGTGCTACTTGTGGTGATGATAACAACAACAACAACAACAATAATAATATTGATCAAGATGAAGATCGTTGTTGTTCTACAAATTCTTCGCCAGATGAAAACAAAACGGAAGAGAGAGAAGCTGAAAAGGTAAGAACTTTTCCTGGAATTTAGAAGATACCCATTGCTTAAAATATGGAAATGAAAAATGGGTTGGTCTTAGATTCTAAGCTTTTGTTGTTTAAGAAGGTTGGTTTTGGGAAGTAATAATATTTGATTATAGGGGGGATTGGTTAATTTTCGTTCCTGGTTTAAGTAAAGTGGAAGTTTTGGGAAGTTAAAAGATTGGTTTTCTAGATGTGTTAGCTATTTGTTTTATAAGCATAATATAATTGTTCAAAAAAAAATGTTTTGGTTGATTGCTTTTAGATTGGTTGGCTATGTTCTTGGATTGGCACGATTATAAAAGTTAGTACTAGCTTGCTGCCTGACTGCTGAATTTTGTTTCATGTTTTTGGCATTTAATAGGGTACTTCTCATTTCCTGCATCGTTTTGGATGCTGGTCTTGGGATCTTATTTATGATTTCACCATTTTTTATTTTTCTAAATTAGGAAAAATTTCTGGCTAGTTTCTTTGAATGATAGTTTAGCTTGATAACCCCCCCTCCCCTGCTATCTTTTAGTTGAATTGCATGTTGTATGGCGTTTTACCTGTTATTTCCTCTAGTTCACTGCTTTTTTAGTCTGGGAGAAATGTTTTCTGGAACCCTTTTCTCTGAATTTCAAGAGGAGTATCTCCTACAGTTAGGATCTCGGCGATTAATGTATAAACAGGAACAGCAATCTGTGTTGCACCACTGTTTTCTTTTGTTTCCAGCACTTTTGCCTCCCTTATTATGCCGAATGAGTATTTTGTGTTCTGCTAACTTTCCTGATCTACGGAAAGCTCAATTTTTCTGGAATCAGGCATCTACTCATTCTTGAAGAAAGTTACTACCAGTTTTAACTGCTACTTAGCCGTACTAACTTTTCTATGTTTCTATAATAATCATGCTCCTTCCTAGGAAATCAAACTACAAATTTCAGTAAAAAATTTGTAGTTTTTTTGCCGCCACTATGATCCTAATTTGTGTTGCAAGATGTCTTTTTAGGGTTATTGTCCCTTAATCTTGATTATATAGCCATACAGAAGGAATATTTGAATCCTGGCATGGATACAGTTAGTAGAAGAGCTTTGAGTCTTTCCTAACTTTGTTTGAAGTCATGACTTCTTAAGCAACTTTTCCAGTGAAATTTCTATTATAGCTGTCAGAATTTGGTGGTCAAACTGGTTCTTTATCTGGCAAACACCAGAAATGGAAACAAATTGGAGTTAGTTCTCCCATGATTTGTAATTTCTAGTTGTCTCAAACTTATGTTTCCTAGTTAAGTACAATAATTCTACTGGTTAGAATTTAGTTCTCATGCTTATTTTCTCCCCATGAATTATTCAGGACACTTTGGGAGATGAAACAACTGAGACTGAACAGGAAGTTGGAGGTATAAAGGAGGATGTGCCTAGACAGGAAGGTGGTGCTCCTCCAGTTACTTCTGGTGAGTCTACAAATTTGGAGGCAACCTCTGGAGCAAGTGAGAACCCTAAAACACCTTCTGTTGAGAAGGAGAGCACTGCTTTGAAAACTTCAAAAGCAGAAGAAGATCAAAGTGAGACAAGTAATTCACAAGGAAAAACCTTGAAGAAACCTGACAAAATTCTTCCATGCCCCCGCTGCAACAGCATGGATACTAAATTTTGTTACTACAACAATTACAATGTCAATCAACCTCGGCACTTTTGCAAGAACTGCCAGAGATACTGGACAGCTGGTGGGACCATGAGGAATGTGCCTGTGGGTGCTGGGCGTCGCAAGAACAAGAATTCAGCCTCACACTACCGTCACATAACTGTCTCTGAAGCTCTGCATAATGCTCGAACTGACATTGCTAATGGAGTCCACCATCCTGCACTGAAAGCTAATGGTACTGTTCTCACCTTTGGCTCGGACACACCCCTTTGTGAATCCATGGCTTCTGTTTTGAACCTTGCAGATAAAACAATGCGTAATACCACACGAAATGGGTTTCATAAGCCTGAGGAGTTAAAGATTCCTGTTTCTTTTCGAGGTGGACAAAATGGGGTTGAGTATTCAAATGGATCATCTGTCCCAACGTCACAGGATAAGGCAGGTAAAGCTGGGTCACAAGATCAAATAATGCGGAATTGTCAGGGTTTTCCACAGATGCCATGCTTTCCTGGGCCTCCTTGGCCTTACCCATGGAATTCAGCTCAGTGGAGCTCTCCCATACCTCCACCTGCTTTCTGCTCTCCAGGCTTTCCCATGCCTTTCTATCCTGCGGCAGCTTTCTGGGGTTGTACTGTACCAGGCACATGGAATGTCCCTTGGCTTTCTCAGCCTTCCTCTCCAAAGAAAACTGCCCCCAGTTCTGGTCCTAATTCGCCCACCTTGGGAAAACATTCTAGAGATGAGAACATAGGCAAACCAAGCAACTCTGGAGAAGAGGAGCCGGTAAAAGAAAATAATGCTGAGAGATGCCTTTGGATTCCAAAAACATTGAGGATCGATGATCCAGGAGAAGCGGCGAGGAGCTCAATATGGGCAACACTTGGCATTAAGAATGATAAACCTGATTCAATAGGTAGCGGAGGACTCTTCAAATCATTTCAATCAAAGGGTGATGAGAGGAATCAGGTTCCTGAAACCTCTCCGGTCTTGCAAGCAAATCCAGCAGCATTGTCTAGGTCAATAAACTTCCATGAGAGCTCGTAATTTAAATTATGACTTTAATTGGTTTATGGTGTTGCATACAGCTTGGTGGTGTTAATTATTCTATACAAATTCAGTCCAACGTTATCGGTAGCTGGGGTCATATTCATTCACGTTCCCCTCTTTATAACCAACTCTCAAAGCAGGCCAACTGAGGAAAACAAGAAGAAGAGTTCCTGTCATATCCTTTGGAGGCAGAGTGTTTAGTTGAAGTAGAAACTGATTTTTATCTTTTTCCTTTTTGTTTTTGGGGTTCCGTTTTTTTGCCAATGCCGGTATGAGCAGGTGTTTTTTGTTTTCAGTTAGATGGTTTGCGAGTTCTGTACATAAATATATATGAAATGGTGAGAGGTAGGATAAAGTAAGTTTCTGTACGATAATCCCAGTTGTATTTAAATAAAAATGGGAACTGAAGTTGATCCTTTTATTCGGCTTTCAGTGTTTTTGGTAAGGTTTGCTCCATCGACCTTAAATTGCCATGATAAGCATCTAGTGTACTTTCCTCTTTAAAGATCTAGATTCTCACGAATGAATGAAAGCAGATTCTCCGATTGTCATAAAGTGATATAGAATGCAGCGTCACTGCCACTGTGCTATATCTGTGCAGTTGGGAAGATGCACAGCCTTCCAGCGCAGCATGCAGCTATATCAAGCGATGGGATTGAAGGTTGTTAGTTGTCCATATGTGTTAAAAAATTCAGCAGTACAGTTAAATCGAATTGAATGAAGCTAATGGCGCAAGCGTCGTCAGTCTGCTCATAAATACGTTTGGATGGGGTTTTGGGGGTGTTCCAGGTAGAATAGAAATCGGGTGCAACTTGGAAAAGCAGAAAAGTCCATGTAGGCCCTTGTTTGGCAGATAGACTTGAATTCTTGTCAGAAAAGGCCGAGTACCTTTCCCTTTCCACAACCATAGAATCCAAACAACTAGCTGCAAAAGGTGGAAAGTTGATCATAGAGTTTTTCTGTTCTTATCTGTAGTTGCTTTCTTTTCTTTTCTCTTTTTTATTTTTTATTTTTTTGTCTTTTATTTTCCTATAATCATCGGTAACATAACACTTAGTCCAAATAAAGCACAACCAAAGGAAAAATCAGAACTAATACTATATACCCTTTATTGTTCACCAAGAGAAAATGAACCTCTGCCTTTTTCTTAACATTAGATTGTATCAACTAACGTCTGAAAATCTTTAGTTAAAACAGCTAGTCCACATCCATTCCAAGTTCCAAATGAGCAATCCTCCATTCAAGACTCAAGTCTTAAAAATCTAAGATTTAGACATTACCAATTGTATGGAACAACCTGCCTGGACTCATGTCTACAGTGTTTAACAACCTGTCATGTACCTTTAAGGTTTCTGCTAGCTAAATCTGTTATCTCATGTACAAGTACAATTACTGAATTTTAATTCGTTTATCGTCTATCGAAATCAACCTAATACGAATAACTACGTTTTTAATAGATTAGACAGGCAAAAAACACATGGAGATGTTTTGTGTTATTTCCGGAAATTTTTGGCTACCATGAGCCAAGCCATTAGCTGGTTATGGGACCCAATGCATGTGATGCTATTAATTTTCTTGGCTGCTATCTTGTTTCCCCTTTCCTGCTTTCTGTCTCTTTGCCTCATTCCTATTAGGTGAATCTGGTCGTTTTGCCACTTCATTCTTGGTCATATCTATTATCTGATGCTGATGAACTTGAGTCTGATATGGAAGCAAACTTTGTTCAGGTAATGCGGTTTTTAAATTCTAGCCACTATCTTTATCTGCTAATGGATATTTGGCTTTGGATTCTGATATGATCTGTTTTACATGTCGCATGAAATCATCAACAACACTTAAAACAAATCGTGTGGTTCTCTGCTCCTGCATTTAGATCCTTGCTTGTCATTATACCTTGTGGGAAAGGGCAAGTAGGTAGCCGTAGCAGCATTATTTTCATTTAGAATTTGAAAATGCTTGCCATTTTGCATGATATATTGTAGCTAAATCATTATCAACCCCATGGAAAAGTAGCACTAAACCACATAAATGAAGGAAAGCTGGAGAGCTGGTGTATAATCACAGCCACAAGCTTCTATCATCAGATATTGCACGCAAAGCGGTGAAGCATGATTCTAAGCCACATATAAACAACCACATATATGCTGAAGCGTAAAAAGTAGGATTGGAGGCACCCAATCATAGAAACCTCCTGGCTGTCTGGCATGACAGTGAGAGCCCCGAGCCTCCCCAACTGCTGAGAAACCAACCCTCTGGGAGGGGCCTGGTGTCAACATCCTTTCACAACTCTTAAGGGCTCATGAAACCAATGCTGGGAAACCTTGCCTTCCCCCTTGCTCACCATTTGATACTTTACATTATTTTTCCTCTAAAGGTATCATTAAACGTTTACCATATGGTTTTTCCATGTTAAACAAGTTTTGTTTTTAATAATCCAAATTTCTAATTTTAGCTAAAATAATCCCGATGCATTTTTCCATTTCGAATAAAATTTAAATAAAATCTTTTAAATCAAAATCGATAAATTAATAAAATTCAATTGAAAAAATTAATAATATGTAAAAAGTTAATTAAAAATACTATGTGTATATAAAATTTGATCATTTCTTATTGAACAATGAAAATTTTATAATAAATTTTACTTAAAAAATGCCCATACTTAATCTATATGAAAAAACCATTTAATTTATTTTTTTTTTTTAAAAAAAAAGAAACCTCACCAACTTAAAACCCCCCTAAGAAACTTCTATAGCTTACCCTCTTAATTATCAAATGCTATAGTTAGGCAGCAGTAATATTCCTGTCCTAGACTTTCCACTCTTGGTCTAAAACCGTGTTCCCTTTCTGATTCTAATATGCAAAAAGATCTAACTCGCCAACTTAGTTATTTGATTCCGCATTAATCAGCCACTAATTAATCATTTAAGATTAAGATCACTAAAATGGAGGAAAGTGCAGCTAATTATTCATTGAGATTTGGGATTGTGAAGTCAACCCTAAGCTATAAAATTATTCTGTCTGGTACTTTCCATGTCATGAAGATAACTTGTCTAAGTTATCCAAGCTACATTCATCACTCTCTCATCCTTTCTCTTTGCTCATCCAACGCCCCCTCGCCTAAAGTTTCATCAACATTCGTTTTCTTCGCTGCCCAAGCATACAAAGGTGAAAGTATACAAAACGTAATTTTCAGAATCACTTCTATTATTGTATAATCCAACCGTCAGATAGTGGATCCAACAATTTAATTTCTATATTTTGTTTTAATTTTTCCCCTTTTAGTTAATTTTTGACATTAGGCTGGAAAATTTTCTTAAACTATTCAATTTAAATAAGATCTTATTCTTTTATTATTATTATTATTTAAAGAGAATTCTTTGTTTTTTGATTTCACTTGTTCATTTTTCTAATGGTAATGTAGAGAGAATATGTTGTTGGTTCCATGGATTGTTGATAGTATTTAGCTAATAAAAAAAGACAATAATTAAATAAAGAGAATTCCATAAAACGACCATTTATAACATACTTAAGTGGAGATTGAAAGTTTTACTTAGCCTAAAAGCAAGCCTTCCACAAAGCCAACTTGTTGTTGCCTACCCATCCCTCAGTGGGATCAAACCTAACTTAATTATTCATCTGAAATGCTAATTATATACTTTACATTCATTTTCATTCGTTAGAAAAAAAAAAGAAGGAATATAAAAGAAGGCTAACCCAATTCCAATTAAACTTTAGAATCAATTAACTTAAGAATAAGAAAAGAAGCTAAGGAAATGAAGATGAGTATCTATCTTGACAAAACCTTATAATTATGGCCCTTAATGGGGGCATGTGCTACTTCGAGCTATTTCGCTTCACATAGCAGGCGTTCATGGGCTTTTCACGTGTGTGTAAACACACGTGCATCGGCTTACATATAACCATATATACACGAAAGCTCAAAATCACTCTAATTATTATATATATTAAAATTAATTAGCACTAATTATCCACATGATACACACTATATTATATGGTTGCTTCAATTTTTAACCTATAATTGTTTTATAATGATCCATCCTCACGGTCTTACACAAAATAGGTTATATGCACACATGCTTAAACTTTACAACTTGATATGAATAAACACCAATGAAAACAAGAAGGGTTGATGATACATAATACAATTTTTCATGAAAAGAAAAAAAATACAACATTAGGGAAAAAAATATCCAAAGGAATATAGATCATGGTTATTGTTCGACTTTAAATTTAAATAATTACCACACATGACGTGATTGTCGAATGTAAAAAATAAATAAATAAATAAAATTGTGTAATTGGCTAATAGAGGGTTAATGGTTTTCATGATTAAAGCTTGACATGCTGCATTATCATCTTGATTTTTTAAGAGATTACTTTCTGCTTTGACCAATTAATAACATTCCTAAACTTGTCTAATAGATCCCATCAAACTTGAGAAGCTAGGTCCTTTAATTAAAGTGGCTTTAGTCTTGTAAGTTGATTTTCTTTATATATATATTCTAACAATTCAAACCATACTCATTAGTGACAAAAACAAAAACAATAAAAATAGTATACCCATGCTTAAGTCAATATTAACATGTTGTTCTGAATTTTCAATGATTAATAGAAGCAAAAAAAGGGAAATAAAAGTTATTAGGTTCATTTTTTAAATACAAAACTAAGCAATTACTTTTCAGAAAATTATTGTTACTTATTATACTTATATATTTACTGTTATTATCATCATTTGAACAAAAGCAAAATTTAATGAAGAGAGTGTTACTAATTAATCAGTGATTATATTAGTAATATGCCCTAAACTAAAGAACTAAACTGGGATTCTTTGCAAAAATTTATGTTCTGGTTGGTTTTATGAAAATTATAATTTTTTAATATTACTGCTAATCATACATAATATAAATCATAGACATCGAGATATAATATGAATTTAAATAGAAAAAAAGGGGAAAAAACACAAGATACAAAATCAATACACATCTTAGTTTTCTGAGTCAACTTCTCATGCAGGTGAAAAGCTTATTTATTAATTAAGAAAACTCTCTCTTTATTTGCAGTCAAGTTAGATGTGAAGTTATTGGAACTCACCAGCAATATGAATTTTATAATTATTTAAATGAATATAGACATTTTATAACATTTTATGTATGCCCATTTACACGCATATTGTAATATAAAAGGTATTTTAATGAAGAATTGATTCACTTTCAGAAGAAAAAAAGTTTAAATAGGATGAAAATGTTGTTGTTCCATTCGAGCTTTACATGTATTGATTGAAGCATCTTGCAAGTAAAACGTACAAGTCTTCTAAACATAAAAGAACCCTTATTAAGGATATATATATGTTATTCATTATTTACACTTTTAAAAAAAATTCAATAATGATAAGGATTTCATTGGTACTTGCTTTTGTTTTTAACA